TAAAATTATTATATAACATATACTTATGACATGCCACATATGTTAAGTTTGATACGTACCTAATTCTGCAGTTAAATCGAGTAAACCCGGTAAAGTAAGTTTTTTGGTATTTTGTATTTTCCGGAAGTGATAGCAAAAGGTCATACGATTTCGTCTTGTGCAAAATGTTAAACCCGGGCATATTTGAAATTCCCGGGTAAACTCATTCATCGTGTAAAGAATGATCCATGTCGATTCCTGATTCCCTGCTTTGTTAATAATTAAGCAATTGGATCACTTTCAATATAATCTGTTATTAAAACATGACAAACGAGCATATGAGTCTTAGTATATGATTACTGAGACTAACATATGTTAGTCTCAGATGATTATAATGATAGTGCTAAATTGTATTATTTTGTGATGTTTGATTCATTACCACTATCAACCTTATTGTGCCAGCTTAGTTTCTTTAGTTTTTAAAATCTCATTCTGAATGAAAATCAGTGCATTAGTTCCTCGATTAATTATTACATTCTCAATTGGGCTGAATGGCATTATTATAATGATTGTACCAGATTGATTAATATGATTGTACCAGATTGCATTTGAGTGAGATTGTGCTATACCTTCTCTGTGTGATTGCACCAAACCATAGGCAGATTGTGATATACCTTCTTTATGTTATTGCACCACATTTATGATATTGAGATTGTGCTATACCTTCTCTGTGTGATTGCACAAAAATTCATTAAAGTTGGATAGGGTTTTAATTTATAAATAGCTTAATGAGATTGTGCTATACCTTCTCTTTGTTATTGCACCAAATTTTATTTAAGTTGGATTGTGCAATACCTTCTCTAGCCTATGTGATTGCACCAAATTTTATTATAGTTAGTATAATGAGATTGTGCTATACATTCTCTGTGATTACACCAAATCTCAATTAAGTTGGATTGTGCAATACCTTCTCTAGCCTATGTGATTGCACCAAATTTTATTATAGTTAGTATAACGAGATTGTGCTATACAGTCTTTGTGATTGCACCACATTTCATTAAATCTTTCATTCTAGTATAATGAGATTGCTATGCATTCTCTGTGTTATTGCACCAAATTTCATATAAGTTGGATTGTGCAATACCTTCTCTATGTGATTGCACCAAATTTTATTAAAGGCTAGTTAGTATAATGAGATTGTGCTATACAGTCTTTGTGATTGCACCACATTTCATTAAAGCTTTCATTCTAGTATAATGAGATTGCTATGCATTCTCTATGTTATTGCACCAAATTTCATATAAGTTGGATTGTGCAATACCTTCTCTATGTGATTGCACCAAATTTTATTATAGCTAGAATAATGAGATTGTGCCATACATTCTGTGTGATTACACCAAATCTCAATTAAGTTGGATTGTGTGATAGCTTCTCTATGTGGTTGCAGCTTTCATAATACATGTAGTATGAGATTGTGCTATGCATTCTCTAAGTGATTGCACCAAATATTATATACAGTGTAGTGTATAACAGTATAATGAGATTGTGCTATACATTCTCTGTGTTATTGCACCATGGCCAAATTTCATTAAAGTTTGATTGTGCAATAGTTTCTCTATGTGATTGTACTCAATTTTGTTATAGCATGAGATTGTGGATTGTGCAATAGCTTCTCAGTGAGATTGTGCTTTACATTTTCTGCATTAGAGTGAGATTGTGCTGAATGTTAAATTAAGGGAAGGAGTCTTGGACCCCATCTTTAAGTAATCGCTGTGGATGTTATGACTTCTCTATCTAGACTTTCCGACTATCATCAGATCATACTACTCTAGTGGTAGTAGCCTCTAAAACAATATCACAATAGCTGAATGACTAGACTGGACTATGATTATCTGGAATAGGCCGGGTCAAATTATTATAAACATTGTTTCTTCATGCCATGTTAAAGGGACAGTGTCGGGAATTCTGGTCCTCAAAACCGAGTGTTACTTTATGTACTTCTCACACCTTTTTTTATTTAATTTTAAACGCAATTCACTGTTCAGTAAGCCTTTATAATTATAGAAAAGAAGGTTTAGCCTATATCAGAATATTTTGATGGTGCAAATTATCTATGAATTTAAGATATTTTGTGGTAGGCCTATTTTAGTTTTAGGAACAAAGTTACAGATGATGGCCAATAACAGACACTTTTCTCATCCCATTCATAAAATCAATATTTCGTTAATGGGTGATTGCAAATAACTGAATGCAGGTAGAGCTGATGATGAAAATCTGTATTATTCTTACTTCATTCTTCAATCAATTATAAATTACACCATGGGCTTTCAACTAGAAGCCCATGATTACACAGAACATAAATATTGTTATAAAATATTTATTTCACATAAAATAGACACCACACACATTACAACACAACAGTAATCTGGTAATATTTCAATTGTTTTATGAAAACAAGCCTATAAGACAAAATCTTCTTTAGCTGATAAATGTCATCCAGGCATCAATCATGTCTTTCAGAAACAATATCATACATTTAAAAAAATCTGATTGAAATATTTAAGGCCTTATATTTAAATTAATTTTCATAATTCATTCAGATACCATAAATTTTTCAAAATACTTTCTCAATAGTTTAGATCTTTTACCAAATAACATCTTTTGAACAAATAACATTGCACAGTGACATCAAAATTAAAATAAAAAATATATTATTGCGTTATTGCCTCTATTTTATGTATTTCTAGCAATAGATGAATGTGTCCTACACAATAGTACAGTGTATAAAAATAAAAATACTTTTCGTTATATCATCCTCACAGTTGGTCAAGACAGATACTGCATACATGTATCAAGAAAGGAACAATATTAGCTGTGCTAAAGTCGGTACTGTTCTGTTCTGTAAACTGAATCAATCCAATTTGGCATCTTCACTATTTCTCGGAAACTCAGAAACTATTTATTTATCAGATCTCTTGCAGAAATCCTTTGGTTTGACCCCAATGGTTTGACATGCCATTGGATAACATTGTAAATATTGTAGCCAAATAGATTGAGATATGGATTCACATCTACAGTTGTAGCCTAGCTACAAGCCTCTGTGACCCCCCTCTACTTCACTAAACACCTTCTGACACAGAGTATGCAAGATCTTGTAGCTAGACTACTACAGTTGATACATCTGCATATTTTGAAAGCATGCACATTTGTATATGTTTTAGTATTATTTTGAATAAAAATCAATTTCAATATAATTCAAGCATAAAATATATTCAATCTCATATAAAAGTAAACAAGAACACAAATGTGTACAAAATGTCCCCACCAAGTGGTGATCCCGTGAAATGGTTATCCTGAAAATGAGTAGACAAGACTTTACCAATCCAAAGTGGCCACCTTAAAATTTACCCAGAATGCCAAAAATTTAGTCAGTTCTAGATTTTCATACTAAGAACAACCCCTGAAAATTTGAAATTGATCCGTCACACAGTTAACCAGAAAACATGTAAACAAGACTTTTCAGACAAGATTTCAGGATGGAAAATCCAAAATGGCTGCCTTGACATTTACCCAGAATGTCAAAAAACTAATCTGTTTGTAGATTTTCATACTAAGAATCATCCCTGAAAATATGAAATTGATCTACCAAACGGTTCACCTGAAAACGGGTAGACAAGACTTTACAGACAAGATTTTAGGACAGAAAATCCAAAATGGCTGCCTTAACATTTACGCAGAATGCAAAAAAAGTAATCAGATGTAGATTTTCATACAAAGAATCATCCCTGAAAATTTGAAATTGATCTATCAAACCGTTCTCCTAAAAACGCGTAGACAAGACTTTACAGGCAAGATTTTAAGACGGAAAATCCAAAATGGCTGCCTTGACATTTACCCAGAATGCAAAAAAACTAATCAGTTCTAGATGTTCATACTAAGAATCATTCCTGAAAATTTGAAATTGATCTACGAAACGGTTCACCTGAAAACGAGTAGACAAGACTTTACAGACAAGATTTTAGGACGGAAAATCCAAAATGGCTGCCTTGACATTTACCCAGAATGCCAAAAAACTAATGAGATCTAGATTTTTATACTAAGAATCATCCCTGAAAATTTGAAATTGATCCACCAAACGGTTCACCTGAAAACGCGCAGACAAGACTTCACAGACAAGATTTTAGGACCGAAAAATCCAAAATGGCCGACAATAAAAAAGTCCTTATGAGTTTTTGCTGATTTCTTCTTACAAAATTATCACATATAACTACTGTTAACAATAAAGTAGGCTTTTACAGCAAAGTACATCTGAAATTATTTATAAAGCTACTAAATAGTTAAAGTATGAAAACTCAAAAACACCATTCAATATGATACAAAGTATTATCGCGTGCTAACTTTTCTTAAGACATTCAAAATGGCTGACATGACTGAGCTAGCAGGTCCAAAACCTAATCAGATCTAGAATGAAGTGAGTTGAACAAGATGTTAAAGTTTTAAAAGCAACTGTGAAGCAGTTTTTCTTAAAGTTTGCAGACAAGGATTTTAGCATTTAACTTCAAAATGGCCGACAGGAAGTAGGTATCGAGTTAATTTTTTTTCATCCACATCTGTATGCACTCATAAGTTATCCCTGAAAATTTGAAGGTGATATCTGTAGCGGTTTTGGAGAAAACTGCCGGACGTACGGACAGACAGACGGACAGACGGACAGACAGACGGACGCGCCTAGGCCGACAATATGGCCCCACACTATGTGGTGGGGACATAACAAAAAGACCAATTAGAATAAGAGGTACCAAGATGTTCTCTTTGAGTATTGCATTGTGGGTAAGTATTCAAGAACACATTCAAATAAAAACATAATTTGTGGGAGAATGTTCACATTCTGTATTGTCATAATTATGATGAATTCCATTCTTTATTAAATTATCAACATGTTTGTATGTAATCATGTTTTTATTTTTGAGTTATTTCTTTAAATCAACATAAAAAGTACAAAATAATATTTGATTGGAATGTGTTCATTCTCCAATTTTGAAAATACAAAGGCAATGCTTATGTATGAAATGTGGGAAGTTGGCTACCCTTCTAGTTGAAAGCCCATCGGCAATGGTAACATTGAAAATGAAAGATAAATTTTATAATTCATCTTTAATTTGCAGCAATTTAAATTGGTAATTTTGGGATATCAAGACATATCGGGCATCTATTCATTTTGGCAGTTTTTAAAGGAGATAAATCTCATAATTTCAAGATACTCATTGTCAGTGTTGTTGAATAACAATATCTTGGAATATTTCTAAATCTAAACAGCCCCGACCATATTGGTATATTTCTTATTACCGAAAGTGCACCCAAAGAAAAACATGTCAAATTCCTGGCAATTTTGGCGAATATTTAATTTGACGATTTTTTGATTTGCCAAATTCACCAAATTAAAACACTCACCAAATGACAAATATAGTAATATTTCAGAAAAATGGCCTGATGGTTTTAAAGTTTAAAGGAAACTAATTTCAGATAGAATCTCAACATCTGCGCCTTCTAATAGTCACTACCAAAGACATCATGCATCCATTGTAAAGTGTCCTGTAAAACTGCAATTTTGGCTGATTCCACATTAGCTCCTATATGCTGACTGATTGGCTTCCCAGACAACCACACAATGGCGTTACATACACCCATTATGACATCAGTTGTTACTGTAACAACAGGTAGATGTTTTACATCACAAAGTTTCAATATATTTTCCTTCAAGTGTTCCACTGTAATCATGTCCTCCATGGTTGGCTGACTCCAGGGATAAGTCATATGTTTGAGATTCTGACTACTGCTGTGTGGTATGTGTACCATAGGACTGTCCCCACACTCCCTAGGAGCTGTTGGTTGCCTGCTTATGTCCATGTAAGTCGTTTGTTTTAGGTCAGGGTTCACACGTGCAGCCTGCTGGTTCATGTGGGACTCATCACAAACCTGCACCTGGAATAGCAACATTGACACTATATCCAGGGTTGTCCAAGAAATGTTGCACTAAATTGTATTAATTCTCTGCACAAGCCAAATTCAAAATCACTTGCCATTTTGAAGTTTCATGACAGAAATAACCATGCAGTAGTTTAGTTAGCACTTAGACAAACTTACTTTACTTTAACATATACTTGAATATGTAGCCCTTCCACGAAGAATAGGTCAGGTTAAACATTTTTATCTCATTATTTCTTATAAGACATGTAATATTCAAAACACAAGTTTCATTAGATCAAGAATCTAAGATTTTTGAATTAATATATGATGACCGAAGATTTAATTCCGTTCATTGTGAAAGGCCCTGTGCAAAGTTTGCAAATCTAAGTTTTTTTTGAAAAATGTGATATTTGAATTGAAAAAAAGTTTTCATCTTACAACTTGCAAATATATGAATTTTAAACCATTTAAGGTCTGAAGGTGCTATGGAAGTTAACAGGAAATGACAAAACAAAAAGTGACAAAACCATGCAAGATAAAAGAGTTCTGTTTGGACCTCCAGTCAGTTTAACTAGTTCCACTTATCATTTACATAACCGGGAGCATAATGGAAATGGTCAGAATGACCATAAACATGATGAAATAACCTTTTCAGCCCTCTGAAAATGTGACTGAAAAAATAGATAAGAGTATGTGCTCAAGAAAGGTCACTGAACAGAAACTTTTGACTTCTTCAGAAATTGTGCCCAATATATTGCTATAAATGATACAATTTAAAAAGAATTTGATATCATTCTTAGAAAAATGAAAAATTATTGTTTCGGACAATTTTTTTAAATTTCAAAGATTGTATCATTTAGAGCAATATATTGGACATATTTTTCTGAAAAAATCAACAGATTCTGTTCATTGACCTTTCCTGAGCACCTACTTTTAGCTATTTTTTAGTCACATTTTCAGATTGCTGAAAAGGTTATTTCATCATATTTAGGGTCATTCTGACAATTTCCATTGAGTTCCCGGTCATGTAAATGATATGTGGAACTAGTTAAACTGACTGGAGGTCCAAACAGAACTCGTTATCTTGGTTCAAAATTTTTTCAAAATCCAGTCGGATTTTTTCGGTCATATATTACGCCATAAATCATAAAATCTCAGTCTTTATTCCTTAATTATAAACCAGTAAATCATTCAATTGTTCTAGTTAGTGTGATATCATATATAATATTAGAATTTCAGGACACGTCACTTACCTGTTTGTCCCTGTACTTTACAGTGTCAGCCACAGCTTGGACTCCCATATCCCCCCTGTTGGTACTTGTCTGTACCCCCTCGCACACTGTAGCAGTTAGTTGTACCTGGCTGGCTCCATCAGACATGGATACGCAGCACTGCACCCCTTGAGTACAAGTCAAGGCTTTCTCATGTGTTGGGGTAACAGGGTCTGTGCCCACTGAACAATGTCTCATGTGAGGATGAATCTTGACCTGAACCTAAGAAAATAAGTAATAATCATTCAATGTGTATTAAGTATTTGCACTGGAAGTGTGTCAATAATAGTGCGTTAATGAAGTAATTGAGTCTATCTAAAGGCTTTAAAGGGTGACACATATCGTTTAGCAAATAGAACGCTCGTTTCTGGTGTTGCTCACCGTTTAGTATAAAAGGTCCGATCCCGGAATAATACTCAAGGGTTCACAGGTTCGAGGTCTAACTGTTATATAGCATAAGTATATTATAGATCGTCACACATTTATAAAAGGGTGATTTTTATTTTGACAAATCAATTCCACATTTATGGGTGAAGTTTCAGGATCTTCTATTTGTGTATAATAAGGAAAAATTGGCATCTAAATTTCCCCATAACGTAATAGCACACAGCTTGGCATATGAAATATCCTACAAATGAAACAAAGCAGTTCTAATACAAGGATTTATATTGGTTGTTGTACATGTATTCTTTGAACGCAATCACTCTTTGGATAACGTTTTCAAAATCATTATAAACGGATTACTTTATCTCAAAGACAATTTCAATAAACTGGATTTTACAGAACTCCCCTTATTTCTTGAAAATGGACTGATCCAGTTGATTCGCCTGGAGCCGCCATATTGTTTTTATACGGGATGCTTATCGGAACCCTTTAAAGAAAGACTTAAAAGATATATAAACTAAAATCCAACAAGAAATAGAATATACGAGAACGAAAATGTTCTGGGACCGACAAATACAGCAGCAACAAAAGCTAAGAAGATGATTCTAAAAAGATTAAGCAGAACAACCAACCAAAATGCCCATGCACATATAACTGTATAAACCAGTAGCCTAATGCAGTAATGTACATATTGTTTAAAATGAAAAAAGGTTCATTCACCTGTTTGGCTTTGGTCTTGAGGGTGGTTTGGCTCATTTGATGTACCAATTCAGGAAGACTAGCATTTGCCTGCTGTGATGCATCCCTCATTGTATACATCATCTGGATCCCTTTGTCTTTGGCCTTAGTTGTTGCCTGACAGCTGGTGTCCTTTAGATTCAACTTGTTGTGGGTTTGAGTCACCATGTGCCTGTAGATGTTCCTGTGTTGGGTCTGTGTACTGCTTGACCTCAGAGCCTGGATGTCATATTGAGAGCTTGTGTCCTTAGTGTCTGTTGCTTCAGAGGTTTGTGTCGATGTGCTAACTGTTGTAAAGTCTACTATAGGTGTTTCATGGTCAGGAGGGCAGCTAACTTTGTTACCCTTTTTGATTGAAGATTTGGCAAGAGAAGTAGAAGAGTCATTTCCTTTGAATACAAACACATTGTTTGATTTTTGGCTAATCTTAGATGGTGAATCATCAAAAGGTTTCATATCAAATGTGAACTCTGTTTGTTTGGAAGGGGAACCTTTGTTAACCTTGGAGTTCTTTTTTGCTGGTTTTAATTTGTTTAGCATTTTTCTCAATCTGGACACAGGTCCATTTGAATCGGCACTTCCTGAAGATTCAGTGCTCCCAGTCGATACATTGTCCAAGGTGTCCAATAACTCAGAGGTAACCACCTTTCTGAATTCCACTCCATCTTGTGTTGGCACATCAGGTTCTTTCTCAATTATTGCTTTCAAACGTTTTCTAAATTTTGCAATATCATTTACTGTACTTGCTGTACAATTTTCTTCCACAGTTGTTTTATCACTGTTAATTTGCACAGTTTGGTTTGCAGCTGCATTTGTTTTAGCTTCATTTTTCAATGGAGCTTTGCAAGTTGGTATTTTACTAGCAATAGGGCTGTTTGCATTTAGTTTTTTGTTTTTGATATGCAAGTCTCTTCTAGTATCTTCTTCAGTACAAATATTTGAAGCTATGTCAGTTTTGCTACCAGATTTATTGGCAGATTTGGTTTTTGCACTATTGGTCTTAACAATTGCTATTGTTTGACTGGTTGTTCCAGTTTTGGTAATGTTTGGCTTGGTTTTATTGTCAACAGGTGGTTTCTTTTGTCTTTCAATGGGAGTCTTCACAGTTTCATCTTTATAAGTAAGCAGGGTGTTTCCACCTTGTTTTGAGAAATTGCTTTTATTTGATTCAATGGCCGTTTGACCAGCTGCTGGCATCTTCTTGACATCAATAGTGGCACATGCTTTCTTCTTGGTTTTGGTAATTGTTGTAATTGAAGTCATTGGCTTATCACTTGCAGCCTGATTTGCTTTAGGTGTAGTTTTACTTGCTGTGAAAGGCTTCACATTTATTTTTCTTCCTGTTGTTGAATAGACAGTTGTCACTGCAGGGGTTAGTGTTTTTGCCTGGGATGGTATTTGTTCTGTTTGTTCAAATGTATTATCATCAGCATTGCTGTTTTCTGATGATGCTGATTCACAAGATTCTTTATCTATATCATCACACTTACTGGACTTGCGTTTTTCATCATTCACCTTTGCTGTTTCTTTTTTAGCCTTATGCTTTTTCAAGACTTTTTCCATCTTTTTCATTCCAATGTTGACAATATTATCCATCGCAGGGGGTAAAAGATTTTCCTCTTCCATAGTAGTTTTTGACTTTGCATTGTTCTCAAATAGATTCTCGGTTATTTTTAAAGCATCTATTGCCCATTTAGGCTTTGGTTTAAAAAGTGATCCCTTGATAATATGACAGAACCTGCAATAAAAATGTGGAGCATGCAATTCTTTGCATTTCGCTTTTACTCTTTCTTGAACAGTCACCATGAAGTCCCAACATAGATCAAGTACTGCTGTCTTTAGTGTCTGAAGCTCCTCTTGGTCGAGAGTATTCCATGTCCAAGCATATTTCATGAACATTTCTACAAGTGCGATCAAAGTATTAATCTGATATTCATGTTCTGCACTCAGATGTCCAATGTATTTCATGATATCTATGATGATGTCAACAAAGGAGTCATTGTTTTGCACCATTTTGCAAACTCTTAGTAAATTCTTGTGTGTGTCTTGCAGCAATTCTCTGGTAAGCTTGACTGATCTTTTTAAGATCTTCAATTTTGTCTTCTTGAACTCAATTTCTGTAAATGAAACCTCCTCAATTATGTTGTCCTGCCAAGATCCACTGCTTGTCTTAAACACATCATCTAAAATTTCCCTTGGAATAGGGCACGCACATTTTACTTTACTCAGGACTAGTTTTCTGTAGAAATTGGCACTGACAAACACCAACATGCAGCTGATGATGTAAATGTTTGTGCAATGTAAGTCTGCCTCTACAATGCTAGTCATCATATCAGTCATGAACATGAAGTACTTCATTTGCTGGATCTTGTATTCATTGGGTAGCTTGCACTCTATAAACTGATCAATACAGACATTCAGTGATTTGTTAACTTCTTCCAGAGCTGTAACACAATTCAGAAGTTGATCTTTCCTTGTTTCTAAAATCACAGGGTTGACCAACTTGAGAGAAGTTGTTTTGTTGGATGCAGATTTATTCTTCTTATTTACCTCAACCTTAGTTGTGCCTAATCCAGAAGGATCATTAGAATTAAAAACAGATGTTAAACTGCTGTCTACGTTCTCATTGTTTTTCTTAGACTTCGTTGGGGTACCTTTTCCCTTCACATCTGATTTCTTGCTCTTTGCAATCACCTTGTTACTCGCAACTGTAAACTTATCTTCAAAGCGTTCAAGAAAATTGATCCATTTCAGTTTGACTTTAAACTTCTTTTCGAATGCAGTCTTTGATGTTTTGATATTTTTATCACTTGAGATTGCACCTACTGCAACATTTCCTCCGTTATCTTGAACAAACTTGTAAACTTCTTCAGCCAAACATTTCTCTGTTTCATCTTTGTTGAGATTTTCCTTCTGCTTTACTGTTTTAGTGACAGTCTTCACAGGTTCTTCTTGCTTTGGTTCATCTTGGGCTTTGACATCAGCTGGAATTCCAGACTTTTGAGGTGGGGGGAACCTTGGTCCAGCTGATAGAGTACCTGGATTTCTTACTGACAAATGTAATTTTTCGCCTACAACTGATGATATGCCAGTTGTTGCTGTTTGGTTCACAATATTTGGAGCACATAAAGGTGGGATATACGTTTTGGATACTTGAGTTTTCTCTGCCCTTGGCACTGGAACAATTTTTGGATCTATTTTGCAAGCATTTGATGACACGACTGTTGTTTTGCTTTTAATTTTTGCCATAGATGTTACAGGCATGTTATTTCTGCAATGTACAAAATTAATACTTCCATTGACTTTATTAAGATCATTGATGGTTGTTCTATTCATTGCAACCTTTGTGCTAGTTTGGTTATTTGTTACTGTTGGGCTACATTTCATGGTAGATACTGTGGTTGTTGTGATGGTCCAAATTGTTTCCACAGCTTGAGTTGTAACATGGACTGACATGAAGTCATCTTCAATCTCCCTATAAGATGCAGATGGCAATCCTTGAAGCATATCATTTGCAATGCTTTTTAGACCCAAAAGTTTACTTTTATTTTCTGGCATCTCCACCAGCTTTGTTGGTGTTGGTTTAGGCAGTTCAGGCCATTCATCTAAACTGCTAGAATCAGTTGTAAGCAGTCCCTTCATTCCTTCTTTAGTTTTTGTTTCTTCAGATGTTAAACACTTTCTGGATTTTTTATTCTTCTTTTTGTTTGAACCTTTTGATAAGCTCTTATGAGTTTCTAATATTTCTATTGAGGTAACATTGACTTTGTCTTGTTTTGCATCAACTTTGGTAGCATCAACAATCATGCTTTCTTCTAGCTCCTCCTTATCTGTTTCAATATATTTGGTCATCTTCTCAATAAGTTGGTCATTATCTTGTCCATTTGTTTTCTTTTGATCAATAGGTTTGCTAGGAATAACAGATTCATCTTTTTCAGAAGCAAAATTGAGACTCCTTTTGACTTTACCTTCGAATTGCTGTTCCTGCATGTTAGATTTATGTATTGGCCCATTGTTGTTTTTGTCAAAAAACATTGTTGCAACAGGTTCAGACCATGTGTTAACTTCTGGTGTTTTAACACATGTGTCTAATGAGGACTTGGTAATAGATGTTCCTAACTCCCCCACATTGTTTAAAATGATGTTATTATGATCTTGTTGTAAATCAACCCTATCTTGTTCCAACATTGTCTCTGTATTGGACAAATGAAATGGCTCATCAGTTTTACTGGATCTCACTTTGAGAGAATCAACTGTACTTGCTCCATCTGGCAGTGTCATTAGAAGAGGATGAAGTTGATTGTTTGATATTGATGTTGGACCAATAACCCCACCAGAACTGAAAGATTGTACAGGCTTCTGTTTTTGCTTGCTTTGTTCTTGTAAGGATTGAGACTCAGTCATTGGTAATAGAGTTGGTATAGGAATAGCTGGTATATTCATGTTCAAATCAACAGATGACTGTCTTGAAGATGGATGCCGTGCCTCTCTCATAAATGCCGAGTTGGTATCATTTGGTTCGAAACTAAGACCAGGTGGAGGTGGTAAGCTTTGTGCCGGAGATGTTCCTAGTGGTTTATAAATTCCTGGTGGTTCAGAAGCAGTTAGTGATTTATATAACCCTGGTGGAGCTGCTAGTGGACTGCAAAGCTCTTTTGTCATTTTAGTTGGTGACAGTGCAGCAACCTTTGGTGATGCACATTTTATTTTAGCTGCCATTTTTGGAGTTGTTCCTGTAAACACAGTATTACTTCCATCAGTAGCATTTCCAGGTCTGTTGGTGTTTGTTACATCAACACGTTTAGTATTGCTTGATACTTTGATACACTTGTCTTGTCTCTTTCTCTCTGATTTAGCTTGATCTGCTTCCTCTTTAGCTTCAACTATTGTGCGATCTTTCAAAGATTTGTTTTTGGCATCTTTTAACTGTATTTTATCTACTTTGTTGTTTGATTTGCTTGTTCCATTTTGCTTCATTGTGTTACCTCTACTGCATTCAGTACCTATATTGCTGTCATAGCTATGGTCTATGTTGCAGTGAGAATCCAGACTTTTTACGCTTCCTTTGTTAGTGTCTCTTTGGGAACATGCCTTGTGTTCCAAATCAGGATACTTTTGACCTGTCATCTTCAATCCCTCATTATTGCTGATAATTTCTTCCTTAGTGGCATTTTTTCTCGCAATTTGACATTTTCTCATAAGCCCAAGTTCTGTTTTTGACAAGTCATTTGGATACCAATCAATATCATCAGCATCATTGTTATCATCATCCTGATTTTTAGAGACAAATGTCCAACCAATGTTACGATTGAGTGGCACACCATCTGCCTTACATCTGTTTAGTTCATTCATGTTGACAGGTCCCTTGTTGTGATTAGATAACTTCCCATTAGCCTCACATGCATCCATTGATAAAAGATTGACTGCATTGTTATTAGCATCGACTTCATAGATATTTCTGGCATTGGATTTATTCTTCTCAACAACAATGAGGTTGTCATTCTTGGTGACATCTTTTTGTGGTACTTTCATGCAGAGTTGATTGTTGAGTTCCCTATATTAAAATACAATCAAACTTTATATGAGTAGTAAATACCAATAGACCAAATATTATAGGCAAATAAAAAAACTCTTTGTCTACTTTCAGTGACTGCTTTCACTTGAATTAGGCACAGTGTGTAAAAAATAAAATTAACATATGTTTTGTATTTGGATAGTGATTTGAATTTTTTACAATTCTGAGAGACAGCATCACCTAGCAAGTTGTTGAAAATTATTTCAAAATAGTGACTTTAACAATTAGTCACCATTACTTGGGGATGACATAAAATAACAAGCCATTAACATGCAAAAAGTCACCACCTCCTGCAATTTGTTACAGGAGCTGAATGCTGAACACCTACCATTAAACACCATCCACAAAAAGTTGGAGACTACATTGTCACGCCTAACCATCGACAAGGTACAGTCACGTGACCGTGACAAAATATGCCGTAGTACACTTTTGATGTACAATGTCACTATTAACTGATTTTAAGCAAAGACTATGATGTAGGTTTGATGCAGGTTTTCAAAAATAAATTTGAGGAATACAAAAAGGATTTCCTGTTTGATTTCGCGTGTATTCGATTTCAAAGACATTTATTTTTCTAATTACGTTAAAAGATCTTCGAGCAGTGCTCGATTTTTTTCGTTGTACGTCTACCCATACAATTGTTCGGTTGGAAAAATGTTGTTTTTTACACATTTCCTTTGATAATTTTCTCCCCTGACGTCTCGGAGTGTCGAATATTTTAATGAGAATGTGTTTCTCCAAACTGCACAATTTAAGACGGGTTAAGATTTAATAAATATTCATGCATTTGGTATAATTTAAAAAATCAGAAATGTACGTTGTCAAATCACAGTGTGTGTTGTCCCTGTAATTGAAATTCATGAGTTATAATATTAAACATTGCAATGATTTAATTTCAAAATGCATTAAGGGTTTTATGCGTCACAAGTGATGTTCAACGAACATGCTCCTGTATCCCTAGTACAGATAAACAGGTAAACGTGATTTTTTCGTTGAATGCTATTTTATTTTATGAAAGTGTTAATATGGTGATTAATATGTGACCATGGCGTGATATCTTCCAACCTTTTTGGCCACTCGGCGTCGGTACGTTACGTTATGTTTAGTTGCACTTTTATGAATTTTAATAATCTCCAGGAGTTCATGGAGAGATCTATACTAGCAAGATGACTTTCAAAATTTATGCTATAGGGTGTCCCGAAAGTATGGGCCCCCTAGGCAGACATATACCAATGTCTCCATAGTATGTGTCATATATCATTTTAAAGCTCATCCAAAGTTATATTAATTTGCCGAGTATCATGGTTCAACTCACAAATGGAAAAAGTTACAGGAATACAAAAGTTAGTGTTTGGCCAAAATTAAAGTCAGTTTTACACCAAAACAATAGTCGGTGTGTCTCCTTAGCCACCATGTTAACAGCAGCAATACTTTCTTATATGACCTTAAACAGGCTTCAAATAGGGATATAGCGTTTTGTAATCCTCATGAAACCTTTTTAAGGCATAAGAAGAGTTTCCTTGGAGTATCTACCCTAAACGTCATCTTTTTAGAACTCAATAGCCATCCTATCTTCGAGAATGGCATCCATAGTTTCTGTCACAGGGTCAGGGCTGTTTCCAGGATACTGAAATGAACTATCTTTTTGACAAAACGCTAATTTTTGAAATGCCTGTTACTTTTTCCCCTTTGAACCATCATATATGGCAAATCAATGTAACTTTGGATAAGCTTAAAAATGATATGTGACACATACTATGGAGACATTGGTATAATTATATCTGCCTAGGGAGGGGGGGGCATACTTTGGGACACTGTATATCTGGAAAGTGCAGAAGTTCAAAAGCCAGGTATGGAACACAAAAAAGAGTTAGTAACATTGACATTTAATCATATCAATGACAATTTTATGGATTAACGGAAAAAATATTAGGGTAAATATATCTGATATGCCTATTAAATATTATTACTTTATTATCAAATATGTTCCTTCTATTACACGTACATTATAGCATTTCATTCACTGTAAAATTAACTGTGAATTGAGATATGTAAGGCCAATGTGACAACATACATTCGAGTTGACAACATACATTATCTATTTTTCGTAGTAGCATCCAAAGTAAAAAGCGGTTTTGCATTAACTCTCAATGTATATTTGTATACTTATCTTAAGTTGTGTTAGTCGTAGTTTGGCTGTTATTTGCATAGCAAAACAAAAATTAGAGAGAATTTTGAGAAATTCAGTCAAGATTTAGAGATCCCTGACGTACTGGGTAGATCTATAACAAGATATTGAAGTTGCTGAGGATCATTTAAAGTAGATATGCATATTTGCAACTTAATTACAAATCGAATGCAACAACTACCTGATGATGAACTGACACAATATTGATCAAATCAATGCTAGTTCTTTCCTCGCTTCCTCATTCTAGAAAATGGCGATCTAAAATGGCGGAAATGACATAGTACATCAAAAGTGTACTACGGTATATTTTGTCAATGTCACGTGACTGTACCTTGTCGATGGTCAGGCGTGATTGTATAACAACAATATGTCACCATAAGTGACATAAGAATCAACCAGAAAATTAAATATTCAACATGGAAATCTTTTACTTTCCTGTTTCCATGATCATTTCTTTAATCAATATTTACATAAAGTATCTTAACTAGAGATATAGATTCTAATCAATTATTTAATGGCCCTTTTTAAACATTTATTTTTAAACTCAAACCTGAAGAAGCAGAATTAAAAAAAACTTAACACAGTTCTATCTTCAAGAAAAATTGCAATCAACAAGACAACAATCATGATTTTTCGATAAATCACCATCAATACTGTAAAACGGGTATTGTTAGCGAGGGGTGATTGTTAGCGATTGTTGGCGATCGCTATAATTTCGCTAAAAATTCAATTCGCTAAAATAAACCGGGGTTAACATAAACCGGGCGCTAAAATTTGCAAATTACCGGGAAACTACATGAATACTAGTATTTAAGGAGCTTTTCGTTCAGTGCTCGACTTCCGGTTTGTAATTTCATTCTTCTGCCATAAATGATAAAATTTCTAATCCATTTCGCTAATTTGGTTTTTTAAAGATTAATCTTCATTTCGCTAAAATTTCCTGCGCTAAAACCTCCTAAAATTGAAAAATCGCTAAAATTTCCCAGTGTCAAAATTACCCGTTTTACAGTAAATAATTTTTTATTAATTAGATCATCTAACTTTTTCACAATTTGCATCAGTTTTAACTATGTCTATCTTATTTTTATCATAAAAATATTATGATCATTAAGACTTAAAGGAACATTCCTTGCCAGACTATTTCTCTCCTGATATGGTAGCTACAATCATATATATACTTTACATATTTAGAAAAAACACGGAAAAATGTTTTCATATGGTCAATATTGATCATTAAAAATGTAGTACTCATTCCCAGTAAGCTGCCATCTTTTCAGATTTCTTTCAGGAAGTGATGTCATCGACTCTCACCTGTTATAACCTTGTCTATTACAGTATAGGAAAGAAGTACAAAATCACTTCTAAACAAGAAGCCCTTATCTTCTGTGTAAAAATATTTTCAGGAGTTGTCAACTTAGAACTAAAGAAGAGATCATCAAAAGGATTTTAATCATAGACCAAATTGAAAAAAATATTCAGCTGGTTTAGTAATTCTGATAGCTCCTTACCTAATGTTATATGCAAAGTTGAGAGTCGATGACATCACTTCCTGAGTGAAATTTTAAAAGATGGCAGCCTACTGGAATTGAGCGCTACATTTTTAAGTGATCAATATTGACCATTCAAAACATTTTTCTGTTTTTTGATAAACTTGCAAAGTATGTATATGGTTATAGCTACCATATTAGGAGAGAGATGGTCTGGCAAGGAATACCCCTTTAAGGAGTGTTTAAATTTAACAGAAAGTTACAGGGTTATCTTGCGAGCAGACTTGGTTCTCTGTATGAGAAGGGTGCATTTGTAATTTTGATCCGAAATAATCCCAAAATGTTTTCGATTCATAATCTAAATGAAATTATTTTATTTCTTGACTTTTTCCCTTTATGCAACACACCTTCTACACATCATGGAATACCATGGCCCTCTCTTCTTGCATCAAAGATCGATACGGAAATTTGGTAGGGCACTTACGATTTAGAATTGGTGGAAAAGACAGACGAATCAAATTTGCTTTTACAAACACGTGATTTAAACATCACAACTCAAAAGGAATTCTCAACGAACTGCATAGCAACGGTGTAGTAAACAATTTCTGATCGCAAAAGGTCCTTGCAAAGTCTTAAGTATTCACTTAATATTTCTAACAGTTCCCACGAATTATTTTATATTTTTCGTAGGAATGAATTCTTAACATTAGAAATAAACATCTTATAAAATATGGTGAATTTAATCGGTAGGAAACACGAAGAAATTAATTTTCTTTAAAGTACGTCAACTTTTTAAGAAGAGTAAACTTCCGGAGAATTTTAAGATTGTATGGGAAGGCCCCGCCTAATCGATCATCGGAATTGGCACGGAAAATCAACAACTAAACACAAACAGGTTTTTAGATGTGATGTGTATCAGAATGCCTTCTACACAATGTATACACGCAAGTATACTAAATGGTGGGGGTGGGGATGGACTTAATGCAAGACAACCTTTACTTTAACAACAACAGACTTGTAACATGACAAAATGTCACCACCTAGTTGCTCATAATATTATGATTTTTTTTACCTTGAGAAGGTCATTAAGGTCAAATCATAGTTAGAATTGAACTTTTGAGAACTTGTAGATGATTTTGAAAAAAGATTTGGTCAATTTGAAAGCAAGTTGAGAAAATACCTTTTTGACCTTTAGAAGGTCATTGGAGTCAAATCTTAAATTTAAAGTCAGATTTGACATTCTGACTTGTAGATGATTTTGAAAAAAATTGGTCAATTTGAAGCAAGTTCAAAGTTTTTTTGACCTCAAGAAGGTCATTGAAGGTCAATTCTTTTTTGACCTTGAGAAGGTCAAACCTCAAATCTATAGTCAGATTTAAACTTTTGAGAACTTGTTGATGATTTTGAAAAAACTCGGTCAATTTGAAGGCCAAATCTCAAATCTATAGTCATTTTATGGCACAAATTATATCAAATTCATCTGAAATCATTACTTTACCTATCAATTGTAGATTTTGCTTCTTTATCTGTAATTATGTTACGATCATCTTTAACATCATTGTTATAGTCATTGTCATCCACTGAGTCAAGTTCATTTGACAAACTGTTAGGTTTCTTACGATTCTGTTCAAGATGTTGCCTTTGTCCAAAGTGATGGAGATATACTGCCTTAGCTTGCATGTTCCTGGAAAGGAAGTAAAATTTAGTTCCATTATCAAATAACTTAGCAATGGTGTAAAAACTTTATTTTATGGCATTATCAAATAATTTTACATTGGTGTAAAAGTTTTATTTTAGGACATTATCAAATGATTTTGCAATGGTGTAAAAGCTTTATTTTAGGGCATTATCAAAATATTTTGCAATGGTGTAAAAGCTTTAATTTAGGACATTATCAAATGATTTTGCAATGGTGTAAAAGCTTTATTTTAGGGCATTATCAAATGATTTTGCAATGGTGCAAAAGCTTTATTTTAGGGCATTATCAAATTATTTTGCAATGGTGTAAAAGGTTTAATTCAGGACATTATCAAATAATTTTACAATGGTGTAAAAGCTTTATTTTAGGACATTATCAAATTATTTTGCAATGATGTAAAAGCTTTATTTTAGGGCATTATCAAATTATTTTGCAATGATGTAAAAGCTTTATTTTAGGACATTATCAAATGATTTTGCAATGGTGTAAAAGCTTTATTTTAGGGCATTATCAAATTATTTTGCAATGATGTAAAAGCTTTATTTTAGGGCATTATCAAATTATTTTGCAATGGTGTAAAAGCTTTATTTTAGGGCATTATCAAATTATTTTGCAATGGTGTAAAAGGTTTAATTTAGGACATTATCAAATTATTTTGCAATGATGTAAAAGCTTTATTTTAGGGCATTATCAAATTATTTTGCAATGGTGTAAAAGCTTTATTTTAGGGCATTATCAAATTATTTTGCGATGATGTAAAAGCTTTATTTTAGGGCATTATCAAATTATTTTGCAATGGTGTAAAAGCTTTATTTTAGGGCATTATCAAATTATTTTGCAATGATGTAAAAGCTTTATTTTAGGGCATTATCAAATTATTTTGCAATGATGTAAAAGCTTTATTTTAGGGCATTATCAAATTATTTTGCAATGATGTAAAAGCTTTATTTTAGGACATTATCAAATGATTTTGCAATGGTGTAAAAGCTTTATTTTAGGGCATTATCAAATTATTTTGCAATGATGTAAAAGCTTTATTTTAGGGCATTATCAAATTATTTTGCAATGGTGTAAAAGCTTTATTTTAGGGCATTATCAAATTATTTTGCAATGGTGTAAAAGGTTTAATTTAGGACATTATCAAATTATTTTGCAATGATGTAAAAGCTTTATTTTAGGGCATTATCAAATTATTTTGCAATGGTGTAAAAGCTTTATTTTAGGGCATTATCAAATTATTTTGCGATGATGTAAAAGCTTTATTTTAGGGCATTATCAAATTATTTTGCAATGGTGTAAAAGCTTTATTTTAGGGCATTATCAAATTATTTTGCAATGATGTAAAAGCTTTATTTTAGGGCATTATCAAATTATTTTGCAATGATGTAAAAGCTTTATTTTAGGGCATTATCAAATTATTTTGCAATGGTGTAAAAGCTTTATTTTAGGGCATTATCAAATTATTTTGCAATGGTGTAAAAGCTTTGTTTTAGGGCATTATCAAATTATTTTGCAATGGTGTAAAAGCTTTATTTTAGGGCATTATCAAATTATTTTGCAATGGTGTAAAAGCTTTATTTTAGGGCATTATCAAATTATTTTGCAATGGTGTAAAAGCTTTATTTTAGGGCATTATCAAATTATTTTGCAATGGTGTAAAAGCTTTGTTTTAGGGAACAATAAAGATAACAGGGCATTAACATATTTACAAAACATATCAAGTATTTAGTTTTGAAATAATCTTATCGATAACATACCTGTTAACATATGATCCTATAATTTTTTATAAATTTATGATACTTGATTTAACTTTTAACTGTAAATTACAATTTAATAGTGATTGTTCATATTCAGAGTTTTTTTACAATTGATGATTTGCGATCACCGAATGGATTCTGTCTTTTAGTGACGTCACAATTAGGTCACACAGCTTTAGATGCTTGATTTTGAGAGATTATCTTCTATATTTCGTGCTTTATTGATTTATTTTTCACGAAAGCGTTCTATTTGACTAGATCAACATTCATGCTAAGCACATACCAAGTCTAAGGTCTTACTGACATGATTTAGATAGCGGTTTAACGCCCCCCGATTTTGACAAAAAAGGGGGGCGCTTATAGGCATCGATGTTTAGTATGAATTTCACCCAAACTTCGCATATATATAGACATACTCATGATCTAGTCAAATAGGCATACCTGGTAAATATCCGACCCATGGTTTTTATATAAGAAACGACAATATTTTTAGCTCAAAACTGCCACGTGTCCGCCATTTCGTGATTCCATCATGTCTAATATCATTTCTATATGACGTCATACCAATAAGACGAAATACGTGACAACAGTATCCATAAACAAAATTCCTGAATTCTGATCGCAAAAGGTCAATTGAGAATGAATCGTTTTTGCAGTTATGGCTATGATTAAATTTCTTATATACAGATACATTATTATTTTCACTAAATATGTTTCCATTTTATGTTCAAATTTATACTGGTTCCTATAGTATTCCATATGTCAACAGATTTCTTGCACTATCCATGGTATGATTATTAGTTTTTGTTTAGTTATTGTTTTTGCCTCTTTTCATATTCGTATTATTAGATTCCAGATGATATCTACATGTACAAGTTGTGTGCACTTAAGTTTCTTATATATTTACTGTACTTCTACTTAATTTGACGGCCGTTTTAATTGTTAAAGGCCGCCAAATTAAGTAGCCACCAAATTCAATATTTCATATTTCAATCATAAATATGTATAGTATCCATTTCAATATTGCAAGTGTGCCATATTAAGTAGCATGGGCGTAGTGCAACTTTTATAAGTAGTACGCCATCACGAGAATACGAGTTGAGGGAAGCAAAAAAGGGCGTTCAGGGGGGTCTGGGGAAAATTTTGAAAAGACCATGTGCAGTATGGCAAGTGATTTTAGACGGTCATATCTTTCACCATGAGAACTTTCGGCATAAATACCATGGTTTTTATTAAAACAATATGTTTTCTTTCAAGTGAAGTACCCATGATGATAAAAATATCAATCGAACAATTCGAAAAAGTATGCATAGTGACCCCATGTCAACATTTTTTTCAAAATATTGAATCTATTTACTCAAAAGAGGATCTCCCTTTTCTGATTTTTATTGCATGAAAAGATTATTCAACAAGGGGTCTAAAACATCTTCAAAAATATAATTGTATTGAAAGTCTAGTTTTGAAGATATCAATTTTCGATGACCAAAATGATGCTGAAAACAATGGATAGCGCGAGTTTTCCCTATGGGAAAATAACATGGGATATGTGGTTTTTAACTTTAACGCATTTCAATAGGCATCTCCTTTTCAGAAATTGTTCATATAGTGTAGAAGAAACTTTTGATATGTTTAAATTGAAAAAAGCAAGATCCTCTTTTTAAAAAATAACCCTAACATTTTCTAAAATGAGCCAGGGTGGGGCCCTAATCCATAATTTTTTAGAGAGTTGGATTGATATATTACTATCATGGGGACTTCACTTGAAAGAAAACATATTGTTTTAATAAAAACCATTGTTTTGATGGCCAGAAAGTACCCATGGTGAAAGATATGACTGTCTAAAATCACTTGCCATACTGCACATGGACCTTTGGTTGTATTTGGAGTGTATTTGCAACCATCTGGTACGCCTGTGCGTACCAGACGTACTGGGCACTACGCATATGAGTAGCCACCAAATGTTCAAAACAGCAAAGCCGCCAAAATAAGTAGGGCCAAATTGCAATACTGCTATACAGGGTGTTCCATATGTTTCAGGAATGATGCTGTGTTTTATTGGTTTTCTTTTCAATCTAACTGAATTTTTGACACAATGTGTCTAAACATGTTTTGAATAAGTTGGAAAAGTTTCATATCTTGAAGTTCAGTAGTCTTAATTATATGGTTGCTATAGTAACCTAGGGGTAGGGCAGGTGGAGCAGGTGTAACAACGCGCAAAATATATGAAAAATTGGTAAAAATAGTTTTTTTGTACGAAGTGTGACTAAGTATTAGGTTGTCAGAGTTGGATCAAACTTGTCAGTAATTAAACAAAAATGAAGGTGGATTTCAAGAAAGTAAAAAAAATGTCACCACCCTTGATCACATCACAATTTAAACACCTGTCATGTCATGAGTCACAAAGGAGAATAAACACAGGTAATTTCATTAGCAAAGGAAAACCTTCGACTTAGGCAACACACAACAATCTGTGACAAGACATGACATGTGTGAATAACAGTTTTCTGCAGCAGACACAATTAAACTTCTAACGAAACCACATGGGGACTCAATGATGGTAACCTGTAGAGTGTATGAGTGGTACAAGTGGTTCAAATCTGGAAGGGAAACTGAAACCGATTATCCAAAATGTGGACACCCGAGAATAGTGAGAGCGCTGACTAATGCGGAAGGGATAGATGCTGAAATAATGATGATGGCTAATAAAGGGTGTGATAACATTTTTAATTTCCAGGAATCCACCTTTATTCTTTTTAATTTCCAACAAGTTTGATGCGACTATGACAAGTTAATACTTTGGACACTTTATACAAAAACTACTATTTTTACAAAAATGTTATGTTTTGCGCGTTGTTACACCTGCTCCACCTACCCTACCCCTAGGTTACTATAGCAACCATATTATTCAGTCTACTGAGTTTCATGATATGAAACTTTTACAACTTTTTCACAACATATTTGGACACATTTTGTTAAAAAATCAGCTAGATTGAAAAGAAAACCAATAAAATACAACATCATTCCTGAAACATATGGAACACCCTGTAACTTGTCTACATTAAAATTGGGCCCTGCATGCAAATGCAAATATAGTATCTTGTACACTCAGGACAGAACTTACTTTTTTATTGGATCATCAGATTCCTCATTTAGGTTTGTTGTCAAAAACTCTTCAGCTGCTTCGTTGATATTTATGTCATCATTAAGGTCTGGTTCATAATCTTGTGATGGACCATTTCCCATGCTGTTGGAAGGCTTTACAGTGCTAAGAACAAAAACATATATTTTAGCATTAAAAATTATTTGAAGAAAACATCAAACATTGAGCTTTTTTCAAAATAGGTGAGGCAAACTTAATTAAATGCAAGGCAAATTTTGTTATAGTATTGATTTGCTTTTTATTGATACATATTTCTAACTTTATGCTGCAAAAAGATAAAATTGATGACGACCACTTTCTTATATTTTTCCAGGGTGAGGGCACTATTTAGAGGTTATGTCACTATCGTGGCATATATGCCCGAGGTCTCAGTGATATATGGCCCGACCTTGGGAGGGACATTGATCTCTGAGAACCGAGGGCATATGTGCCACGCTAGTGACATAAATGATTTATAACATACATATGATGATGTAGACTGGTCAGAGCGCACTGTTTTCTTATAGAATTGACAAACAAATGGTTTGAAAATGATTGAAATGAGTTTAGAAAAATTGCTCGCGCAGTTTTATCTTCGATTGATTGGTTATGACGTCAGCGCCTTGACCAATCAGAAAGTTAGCGGGCGCGGGCTTTTCAAAACTTATATTGGCCCGCTGGCTTGTGTACACTTTGCACTGTACATCATCATAGGTATGTTATAAAAAGTGATATTAAAAATATGAAATAGCCCTTAGTACTTAGTCATTGATTAGTTGTTTTAAAATATCAGAAATAGCATGGAAATGATTTAAGAATACTTCTTTATACAGTACAAGCTGTCATCATTCCCTTGAAGCTACAAATATAAAATAGATGAGACCAAAAAAGATGTGTAGTGGATCAAAATTGACACAAAAAGTTTGATATCTCTGGATTCAGTTGTCATAAAATGATGTATAATGGCTCTTTAGAAAGGCCTTCTTATGTATTTTATGTAAAAAGCCATAATACAACATTTTATGACAACTGAATCCAGAGATATCAAACTTCTTGTGTTAAATTTGATCTGCGGCACACTTTTTTTAGTCTCATCTATTTTATATTTGTAGCTTCAAGCAAAAGATGACAGCTTTTACAGCTCAAACAAGTAATCTAAAGTCATCTTGTTGCTATTTGTGATATTTTAATGCAACTATTATAATGACTAAGTACTATTTCATATTTTTAATAACACTTTATAGTGACCTACCCCTGGAAAAATATAAGAAAGTGGGCGTCATCAATTTTATCTTTTTGCAGCATAAAGTTAGAAACATGTATCAATAGAAAGCAAATCAATGCATTCAAAACATCTTCAAATGTCACTTGACATTGTAATTCATTTATTACTAAGATTTTCGATGTCACTCGACTTTTTTGCAAAAAACCTTCCAAAAAGTAACAGTCGCATTAATTCACATTGTCGTACTAAAAAATGATCCACCGCCTAACTTATGCACCATCGAACTCGGTAATATTGTACACGTAACTATTAACTACCATAATTATATTCCCATGAAAACTGGACTTGCTTTTCAACATTTCAAGCGAAAATTCTCTACAGAGCTTTTGTTTTTCTGACGTAATTTCTTCTAAGAAATCGGTGACAGGTTCAGTTCATCTTATTTCGAAAGGGGTGTCATCTATTTAGAATATTTATTTTCATCTTGTCCAGTCCTATATACAACCTGCCCTTATCCTTTTCACTTGCAAGTTGCAAAACCGCATAGTAATGTTGAAATTATGTAAAAGATTCTCTGAGAGTGGCGACATGTCTGCATCTCGACCATCTTGCATTTGACACCCCTTGTCCAAGTAAACTGCACATCCGGGTGATTAGAAAATAGACATTTTTCAAGAAAGACAGATTACTCTGGTCAAACTGAGTTTTTGACGAAACTTATGAAAGAATCAATAAAAGGTAAGTGATATACATTAGGCGGATGCCAAAAATTAAACATGGCACCAATTTGAAACTTCAGAATGCCTTCTGTGATTCAAAATCACAAAACAAGGCACAGACGTGAACAATATCGTACCTAAAACACAGCAGTGTGACAGTGAAGAATTTGGGACGGAAAATCCAAAATGGCCACATTAAAATTTACCCAGAATGCCCAAAAACTAATCAGTTCTTAACTTTGATACGTAGAAACATCCCTGAAAATTTCAGATGAATCCATTAAATGGTTTGGCTGGAAACCTGTAGACAAGTCTTGAAAGTGAAGATTTTAGGACGGAAAATCCAAAATGGCCACCTTAAAATTATTAACCAAGAATGCCCAAAAACTAATCAGTTGTTAACTTTGATATGTAGAAACATCCCTATAAATTTCAAATGAATCCGTCAAATAGTTTGGCTGGAAACCTGAAGACAAGTCTTGAAAGTGAAGATTTTAGGACGGAAAATCCAAAATGGCCACCTTAAAATTTACCCAGAATGCCAAAAAACTAATCAGTTCTTTACTTTGATACGTAGAAACATCCCTGAAAATTTCAGATGAATCCGTCAAATGGTTTGGCTGGAAACCTGTAGACAAGTCTTGAAAGTGAAGATTTTAGGACGGAAAATCCAAAATGGCCACCTTAAAATTTACCCAGAATGCCCAAAAACTAATCAGTTCTTAACTTTGATACGTAGAACTAGAAACATTCCTGAAAATTTCAGATGAATCTGTCAAATGGTTTGGCTGGAAACCTGAAGACAAGCTGAAAAGTGAGACGCCGCTCGCCCGCCCGCCGCCCGTCAAGCTGACTACAATATCGTACCTTTATTAGGTACGATAAAAAGTCGAGTGACATTTTGATTTTAGCTGGCGCAAATCTTAGAATATAGGACTCCACCTCTTTTATATGTCAGTTTTCAATTTAATCTTAGTACATGTTTCATACTTGAATCTAATATAGCCTATTCATGCTCAAATGTGTCAAATAAAGATGACTTGAGGTTATCCCGTACCTGGCACGCGATAAGCTTGAGGGGGTGAGGCAAACGATGTCCGATTTGGCTGAATCTTTTTTTGTGCGGTCCCTACTAACCATAGATCATAATGTATGAATAAGCAACTTGATCAGAAAAAATTCCAAAAATAAAACACCCTAAAGAAGGAGGTACGGATTCTGCACACCTGCTTAGGGAGCCACACTCAGTGGCCAGTCATAAACACTATAAATAACCTAGACCTACTGCGTGATCCTGTAATGTAAAATCGCGAACCGATAGGAAATAAACACCTGTATCTATAACTAAGTTTACTTATCTATGAATACCTATCGTAGCGTAGATATTAGCGTAGATATCCACTAATCTTTTTCTTCGCAGTTTCACCAACGCAGATTTTCAGTTGACAGACAAGGAGGATTGGCTCCCAGAGTGCACCACCGATATTCTGTCCCATATATGGGTATGTCGTAATACAAAATTCGAATTCAAACAGCCGCCATTTTGTTCACTTCAACATTTAAATCGTGAATTTTGGTCTTATTTCCAAACGAAAAATTCCAAAACTCACAAGAAACGATCGAGATATTGGTTCGAATCTTTTGAACTGTTTATTTTGAATTTATAGTCGGTTTTAATTTCAGAAAATAACGACATTTCGACGTTTTCATTGTTGGAAAATATCGAGTTTCGATCCTGGGAGCCAATCCTCCTTGGTTGACAGACGACGTGACGTCAAGTCCATGACAAACCAACTCAAGATATATTACAATAATGAATATATCAATGATAAACTCAAATATTATCAAAAATCAAAATACCAATAAAATAACAATTCATAAACTATATTCTTGAAAAGGTTTAATCAAATAACTCTTGGGAAATCGAAAATCTATTTATACATTGGGAACTTTGTTGAGTGTTGTCATGATAATTATTTTTGAAAAAAAAGATTCGGTGTCTCGTGATCGATCCCAGTTACGTGCATATTCAGGAGTATACCATCTATCTGACAAACTGAAATGGGTCCACATTGGAAGTGTTATTCTGATGAAGTAAGTTTCAATTATATGAAGTAAAAGATACATTCAGACACAACGAATTTGCGCTTGTTGTATATCTATTATCACCCACTAAAAATCCATTTTACAGTGGGGATCATAAGAATTGCAAAAGCTATGAAAATTACATGCTGTCGCACATGTAATAAATACTTACCTCAGTGTATTCAGTGCTCTATTTTCTCCGTCTTAGTAACAGGCCTGTCAACTGTGCCGCAATTTGCGTATTTGTCACGCATTTGCTGAAGAATTTGAAGTCACGCCAGTTATTTTTGCGTGACAGAAAATGTCACGCAATTACGCATTTTATCTGGTAATTGTCAAGCAAAAATATTTCTGTAGAAAATTTTCTAAAAAAGACCGTCTACACAGCAAAAATACGAACGACGGGAAAAAACGTACGCATTTCGTTCGGACTTTTCACGCGAATTACGGATATGTCACGCATTCCGTTCGAAATTTTTTGTACCTTCCCCCCCCGTTGATGGATGTTTGAAACGCGAGCGTAGCGAGTGCGAAAAATTTGAGGTGTTCAAAATTTGGCAAGATGTAATGAAATTTAAACCAAGGTGTTCAAAATTTGGATCAAGGTGTTCAGATTTGGACCAAGGTGTCCACATTTTGAGGGGAGGTGTTCAACATTTCCAAGTCACTCATGTTAGGTGTTCCCAAGTTGACAGGCCTGTAGTAAGTCCAAATATAGTGAATTTGTGTCCCTATTGACAAATAAGAACTTCAAAAGTTGAAGTGGATATTCACATGTTATGCCGACTCTTCAAATGTTGAGGTGATTTTGTCGCCCGATTGCGCCGTAACGGAGGATTGGCTCCCAGAATGCAACATGACACGTGCCAGCTTTCAAAATGCTGTTCCGCCATTTTGAAACCTGTCATGAGTAAATACGGTTAAGGTTCAGCTGAAAAGTAACATTTTGGTAAAAAATTGCTATACCTGCACATGTTATTTTCTGGTACATAATTAAGTATGAAGGCATGTGTGTATTTCCTTGCTTTTTTCAGGAAAGTATCATTACACTGTCTACTTTTAGTAAACCTGGAAACAGGTCAATGGTAACTCCTGTGTTGTCTGGAAACTTTGAAAGAAAATTTGGAAAAACAGGAAGTGTAAAATATCAGAATTCCCCGGAGTTCCATTTGAACGCCTACCAGATATTCTAAAAGAAGACAATGTAATGATACTTTCCTGAAAAAAGCAAGGAAATTGATACATGCCTTCATACTTTATTTTGTACCAGAAAATAACATGTGCAGGTATAGCAATTTTTTACCAAAATGTTACTTTCCAGCTGTACCTTAAGGACAGGGTGCATGTTGGGAAATTTTCTGCATTCCTCAATTGAGTCACATGTTATTTTTTAAACAAGAATAACTCCTTCCCCACATTGTCTACATCTTCCAAGTTTGCACAAAGAGTGCACATATGTGCCTAGAAAAGCCTTGTGAGAAGGTTTGTTTTGTAAAATGTATAAAAAATGAGAAAATTCAGTGAAAAAAATTTCTGAAAATTTTCTAAATTTTTTCACTCAATTTTCTTGTTTTTTATACACTTTATCAAAACATTCTTCTCACAAGTCTTTTCTAGGCACACAAGTGCACTCTTTGTGCAAAACTGGAAGATATAGACAATGTGGGGAAGGAGTTATTCTTGTTTGAAAAATAACATGTGACTCAATTGAGGAATGCAGAAAATTTCCCATCATGCACCCTGACCTTAAGGACAGGAAGCGGAACTAATTAAACCCTGAAAACATGGGAATATTACATGAAGAATGTGATTCAAGCATGCATACATACGTTATGAATACAAACACACCGTCCCGTATCCCCCTTAGACCCTATTGATGCATAATTACGAAAAATATTTGAGACAGGTTTGGAATATAATGAAAATGTCGGTAAGTTCTGGTAACATCGAAATTGCAAATTGTATCAGAAATTGTCATTTTGGCACTGCATTAACAAACAGTAGGTTTGCAATTTATAACTATTTTGCATTACACGCTATCACAGGCTGGTATCGAAAGATTTGTCCGCTGTGACGGAGCATGCTATTTTTCATAAAAACACTAAGAATGCTTCACGATTTATTTTTTAACTCATATGTTTCGTTATATCAAAGACAATTACTTACTCCATGCAATGGATATATCATTTGCGTGTAACCTTCACTTCTGTTTGAAGTCCAATAACGCTTTGAGTAAAATCTATTGAAAACGGCGCCAGAGTATCAAACTCTAAAATGTACCATTTCTTTTTAAACTTTTTAATGGCATGATATAGTGACACGATAATATTAACATATGTTTTCAGCATAAACCTGAATGTATTAATGAGATATTAATGCATTTGGGTCTTTTTAATTTTTTTATAAAAAATAATATTAATATTTTTTGTCCGCTGTGACGGAGCATTTCACGGTTTACAATTGCAACTGCTCCATCACAGCGGACAAAAAAAATAAACATTTTTTTTATAAAAGAATTAAAAAGACCAAATACATCAACATCTCATTTATACCTTCATAGTTATGCTGAAACCATGTGTAAATATTATCGTGTCACTATATCGTGCCATTAGAAAGTTAAACAAGAAATGGTACATTTTGAAGTATGGTACTCCGGCGCCATTTTCAATAGCTTTTCTTCCCAGCGTAATTGGACTTCAAACAGAAGTGAAAGTTACCCGCAAATGATATATCCGTTGCATGGAGTAAGTAATTTTGTATGGTATAACGAAACATATGAGTTAAAAAATAAATCGTGAAGTATTCTTAGTGTTTTTATGAAAAATAGCATGCTCCGTCAAAGCGGACAAATATTTCGATACCAGCCTGTGGCTATATACATGTAAATCAATCAAAGATACCTGTTATCCTCAAAATTGATTATATAAATATTAAATAATTAGATCTTTTATCACGAGTAATCGGGATAATAATTAGATCTATTTGGCAACAATTTCGTTTCGCTGATAGTTAATTTTAATCCGGGACACTCTGAGGAACAGACACAATGAGGAACATGCGGAAATGTCTTTTTAGAGATTGGTAAGTGTAGCCTCATAAATGAACATTTAACACAACAGTATTGTGTTAAATTGCTTGATGTTATGTGTTTTCATATTATTGTCAAGTATCAGTTGCATGTTATCGCGGAAAAATGGTTTTGATGGATCCAGAGCTTGCAATAAAGAAAAGAATAGTAAGGAGGTTAAACCCAATAACGGGCAAGAAAATTCCTAATAGTAAAGAGTGCCGTTATTGGGTTTAACGACGTTGAACTACAATGTGGTATGCTACCTGCTTTCCCGTGAAAGATCTTGTAGCCTACTTATTTACCCTGTGCCTAGAGTCTTCAGTCTTGTAATAAACTACCCTCTTCTTAGTATAGACTTTATTACAGTTGAGGAGCCCGCCCCTTCACCCATGCCCAAGATAGCTGGGGTCATAAATCGTTTCAAACCTATCACACTGAACTTTTCTCAATGTGTGCACAATAATTATGTGATTACATCAGAGAAAATGACCATATATAGAAAGTCGTCCTTATTTTGACGACGAAATCTGATTAGCTCGATCAGTTCAGAACTGAAAGAGTGAACAAGAAGACTCTTATTTGAGAAGCGAAGTTGAACAAATGCAAAGGGTAGCACTAATTTATATCTGAGATCTTCATTTTTCTATTTCTACTTGTTTGGCTTAAATAAATGAGCTATAGACTATTAACTTTTAAAGATTAATGAGCTGTTCCTGGAGCCTGTGTGTCATTGTAAAGCTGACGTCACATTTCTGGGATCATGGAAGCACCATCCTCTGGATTCTGGACACTGCTTAGGAGGATGGGAAGCACATTCAGATAGAAATGTTATTTGTGTGCAATGTGAATATTCTTTTCCATGAATCATTTCACAATGGTCTCCTGATATCCTACTTTTTTAGGTTTTACTAAAGCAATAAAATAATGAATTGGACTTTAATGTTCTGTATTATTATTTGAATGCTTGGGTATTATGCATATTTTTTGTCTCCAGTTTGAAGAGACATTTTGATCCATCAATATTTATGTAGTATCTATCTAATGTTATGTTTATCATGTTCAATGTCAAATGAAAGAGTTTCATCATCATAGTTGTCCAAGACTCCGCATACTGTACCAATGTGGTAGCAATGCAGAAATAATTTTTAGTGATGTTATGCAAAACCATTCCAGATCAAAACAAACTGGACATAAATGGTAAAAGTTATGCTACATACTGTACTTACATTACATAGTGAGAAAATTTATCCTTAGCTTATCATTTCTATTCATGTTTAGGAACTTGAAGTCCAGTATTCTCCTAGTAAGTGGTCAACACGTGAGGATGCTGTCGGGACATACTTAGATATAATAGGAAAAGGTATTGATGCTATCTACTCAACATTGCATGAAATCTTTATGTACCCTACCCTCCATAAGCATACCCATCTAGGTTTCTCATGCTTATGGATACTGCACCACCCTGCACCACCTTAACATTTCACACATCTTCTATACAAGTTGGTTCGTGTGGGAAGGTGGGAGGGGCACCAAAAACTAGTGCATCTTGTAAAATACACATCTTGTAATCAAGCTGGTTCACTCATGCTGGGGGGGGAGGGACACCAGAATGCACCCTGTACCCCTTTGGATTATTGTATTATCTAGACAAGCTGATTAATGGGGAATGGTAACCAGAAATGTTACCTACGGTTATCATTTGTGCTAAGTAAGCAAAAAGTAATTTAAAGTGATAATATATGTGTATTTTACTTAGATTTGCCAAATAGTCCTTATATGAAATTTGTATTATTACAATTAAATCTAAGACAAATTACACTTACATTGTGAATTTTGAAAATAATAAGAATCTCTTGTCTAACCAAAGGGATAAAGAACTTCCCTCCTACATTCCACCCATACAAAAGTTTTTCTGTGGACCAATCTATTTGTATTACACAAGTAATGTAAATAAGTAAGTAAAAATATATGTAAGTTAATTGATTCAATAATCAGGCTCGTGAGACACTTTTCTCCAAAGGGGGGGGGGCGGTTCTTACTGAAGAGAATATAAAATTGTCAATTTTTTGCCGCATACTAGTTCAAATCACGTGAATCAGAGGGTGGGGGGGTCGGTTACTCCCTATATTTGGGGCCACTCAGCTTATTTTTATTGTTTTCATATTGCTTTTAGACTAAATATTGTATGAGCAATTTGGAGAAACATTGAAATTTTTATGATTTCATGTCACTCGGTGATTTCTGGGTACTTTTTAAGTGTTTAGAATTAACAAATGCAACTTCCAAACTTTCCAATTGTTTTGTGGGTCTAAAGAGTGGTCCAATCCCCCTTGAAAATTTTACGATTTTGAGATGCTATTTGGTGCTTTCTGGGCACTTTCAAAGTGTATTAGTCAATGAGGATGAGAGGGTGAGGTGGGGTGGGGGTACCAGAGCTAGAGGAGGAGCAAGGGGTTGTCCCCCAGAAACATTGACCATATCAAGGGGCCATTTGATGATGTCTGGGCACTTTAAAAATGTCTGAGACAGGACATGAAATTCAGAATTTTTCAATTGTTTTGTTAGGGATGTGAGGGGTGGCCAACTCTCCTAGAAAATTTTACAATTTTAAGATGATATTTTCTGCTTTCTGGCACTTTTAAAGTGTATGCGTCAATATTAAAAAATGGAAAACTTTTTTTTCAAATTTTGGGGATGTCAAAGGGGGTGCCATCGTGCCAGAGGGGGAGGTGTGGTTGGGGTACCAGAGGGGAGCAAGTGTTTGAAGTCTGGGCACTTAAAAAGTGTCTGAGACAATACATGAAATATATTCAGAATCTTCAATTGTCAATTGTTTTGTGGGGATGTGAGGGGTGGCCTACTTCCCTAGAAAATTTTACAATTTTAAGATGCTATTTGGGGGTGTCAAATGGGGGGGGGGGGGGTGCCAGAGGGGGAGGTTGGGTGAGAATGCTAGAGGGGGAGCAAGTGTTAGTCCCCCAGAAACATTGACTTTATCAATGAGCTATTTGATGATGTCTGTCACTTTAAAAGTGTCTGAGACAATACATAAAATAAATTCAGAACTTTTCAATTGTTTTGTGAGGGTGTGAGGGGTGACTACTCCCCCTAGAAAATTTTACAATTTTAAGATGCTATTTGTTTGGTGCTTTCTGGGCACTTTGGAAGTGTATGGGTTAATGAAAAAAATTAAAAATTTTTTTCAATTTATTTTTTGGTGGGTGTCAAAGGGGGGCGAACCCCCCCCCCTACCCCCCCCCTACCCCCCCCCCCCCCCATCTGACGGCCCTGATAATGATACACGTACAGTGTAGTTAAAACAGCAAGATGGATAACATGTAGAGTTTAAAGATCAACAAAATCATAGTGAAAACAAAATGTAAATTGTTATATCTGATATATTGGAACTCATTTATTAGCATTAATATTACATATTGACATGTTATGCTAAGATATGTTTAAAACCAGTTTTATGTAATTTGAAAAGGTACTAAAATAATTGTTGTACTAAAATGGTGACTTTAAAAAGCATTTACTAATCTTGTCAAAAGTTTGACCCGTATGTGTGAAATATATTTAGTTAATTTTTTTTCAGAGCTCCTTAAAAGAATTCAAACCCATGAACATCATCTTTATTTCAGGCAGTATCCATGTAAGGAATACCCTTGAATGTCATCTTAATATCCAATATGGAGATTTATCAGATGAAAAAGTGGACATATTCTGTCCAGCATCACTACCAAAAGGTAAAAAATTATCAATGTTTTATTTGTTTTGCATCATCAACAAACATTTTTCCATAGAATTCTTTTTCAACACTACATACTTTATTTTTAATGCATAGTTATATACAAATATATACAAATTAAAATTCATTCCAGAAGTTTCATTGAGACAATTGATTTCCTTTTTGTGGGTTTAATGAACAATTATATGATGGGACTATTGGTTTTCATACCACTTGTCAGTGCTTTTGCCTACATATTTTTGATATTTTTGACTGTTTGTTTGATATTGCAAAGCTTTGTCTACCTCAGAGATTCAAGCTATATGTGCATATATATTTAGAGAAAGATTATCCTATATGAGGTTCAGGATATTGGAATTATCCTGAGGCTAATATAATATACAGTACATGTACATGTATCAGATTTATTATACATGTATTGCCCAAGAGAAAATCTCAATATTTTTAACCGACTACAGTATGATCTGTTTATCCGATATTAGTCTTGATCATCTTGTTCACATTGTTCAATTGGCCTCAGTTCAGAAATTTCAACTCTAGGAATTCTTTTAGAATATTCATGTGCTGTTTTGTTTTCCTGGCTGTGGTCAGATTTTCCTGTTGTTTCAGATATTCATCTGCATTTATATTCTTGAATCTTCAATTATTAATAGGGATTAATATGCTCCTTCCCTTTTTACATCATCAAACACATCGCAATTGTCTTATTTTTCGCCATTGCTATTTATTGTAATACTCCTGTTCGCGATAAGAGTTCAGGTGGTAATTTACATAAATATCTCCCATGATGCATCGCTTTGGAAGGGACAAATTTTCATTGGCCCGCCGAATGAGTCGATTACTCTGAACGTTTCTCAGCTTCTGATCTTCCATCAGCCCTAAAACATAGTTATATAATCCAATCTATTCAATAATCAGAAAGATAATCGGAGATGCAAAGTAACATTATTTATATTTTTCGATCTTCGATGGCGTCTGAGCAATTTCTGGGATATCAGTGACGTCACTGGAATTGGACGGCATTTTCAACTACACATTTCTTCGGATTTGGGGATTATAGCTCGAAAAGCTTTGTCATATATCTTAATTACATACATACCTATCGTTTGTGCAAATGAAACTCTACATAAATGTTAAATAGAGCCGCAGTGCGGCATTGAAAATAGCACCCCAGTGTAATCCAATGGGAAAGAACCCGGATGTAGACGAAGTTGTACCATACATGAGAGCTCTTCAAACGAGAGGTAGCTAAACTGAACGAAATTAACCGTTATCGCGTATTGGTATATTATGCAAATGGTAGAAAAATGCACCAACTTGCGAACAGAGATTATGACATAGATCTGCCCGCTCAGCTATTTACAAACCTGCTTTAAGTACCTCAAAGATATATTAACATGTACAGTATATAATTTATTTATTTTATTGACAATTGTATCAAAACATTTATATACACTGTGCTGTGTATAATATTATAACTGGGGCAATGTTACTTTTAATACTCAGGCTGAGGTTTAATCAATCAATGTACAATGTTAATTTTAAAATTCTAACATTAATTCAATTATATTAAAGAATTTAATTCTATATATTTCTTCCAGATGCTCCGGTGTTTGTGTATATACATGGGGGATACTGGCAGTTAAATTGGTAAGTGATGGTAAAAAAGACTTTCATTGCAGCAAGGTGGAGTGAAATCACATAATAAAACAATAGTGCAAGACCAATTTCCAGTCTTCTGTGTGTGTGCAAAAGCAAATGTAGAAACATGTTTTGATTGTTAAAATTTAAAAAGAGATCTGAAAAATGTAAAATGAACTACCAGTTTAGCTTAGTCATGTGAAAGGTACAATATGATTAATAGTAGAATTCATTTTATCCATTATTATTAATTTTATCCATTCATATATTACACATCATTGTAATGAAAGTTGAATTATCTATCAGTTTGTATATCTTATTACACAAGCAATACTACTGGAAATGTAAAAACAAGAGCTCATTTTTAAATATATCAGTACATCAGTTGCTTACACAACATTTTCATTTTAGTTTAGAATTGAACTGCTACATGGCTGAGACATTTTACAAAGCTGGAGCTGCAACTGCCACTATAGGATATGCCAAGGCTCCATCAGGTCAGTGTTCTCAAGAAATATCAAAATGGTTCTGTTATAGAAAGAAAAGAAATCTAGAATTTATGGTGACATTTTGAACACATACATGTTCTGTACAATTGAATATATGCAGAACATGTAATGCATGTACCTGAGTTATAATACATATTACAGTGGTTTCAGTTTGATTTTCATCTCTTTGAAAGAGTAGCCCTGGTTGTTAACTATTATAGCTTCAGGGAGCTGGTCTTTTGGCCACGCCTTCCAGAAGATGCACTTATAGCTATAGCTTCCTGTTACTGGACATATTGGACCATCTGCATATGTGCCAAATAAATTAGCCTGATAAATCCCGTAACATCCATACCACCATGGGCTGAAGGAATCCTTAGCACAATGACCCCCAGGGAAGTCATCATGGTCGTTATCCTTTGTTGAGAACTGTTTATTGGTATAAGAATTCATTGAGTCCCCTGCTGTACCTGTGTATCCATCAATGATTAAGGTGTAGTTCTGCTTCCTATCTCCAATTTCAAACCTGTCATATTGAGCATATCTCATCTCCCCTGGTGTTGTTTCATTGCCCCAAGATGTAAGCTCAAATCTGGCTTTAAACCTATCATTGAGCATCAATGCCACTATTTTGTTGAACCCTAAAAAATGTTCATCCATTATATCACCAAATCCTTCTTGATAGTCTTCCCAAGTGCGATCAAAGTCAACACTGCCATCATATCTGTGAGCCATGATTATCCAACCATTTTCACATCTAACTGCAAACCGTTTGTTGTTTATTGTATGTACCATAGTGATACCATCTGGATGATCTGTGCAGTCTCTTGCAACAGGGACAGAGTTAGTTACTACCTCTGTTCGGTTGTTGGGACCTACAATAATACAGGAATACAATATGATGGCAGGCCTAAACGCGTGATGCAGTACATATACATATAGATAGTGGCGAAACTGTGTTTTTGACACAATGTGTGAATAATCATGTCATAAATTCATTCCTTATCCCAAGGCATGAAGTCCAATAGGGATATAGTGAAACCCTTTGTCTGTTCATCAGCCTGTCCTTGCACACCAATCCTGTGCCGTCTGTCCAGAAAATAATTCAAATTCAAAATAGTCAACAGATTTTATTTATATTTGGTAGAATGATGTCAGTTGTTATAGTTTTATGTAAAAAGCACTTTTCAAGTTAGCCACTGTTCAAGTTAGCCACTGCTTTGAAAATAGCAGAAAAAGTTTTTTCAAACCTCTGTTATTCGAAAAATGCCAAATACCAACCACTGGGCCTCTAGGAAGACCAGTTTTGTACAAAATCAAAAAGGTAGTTTCATGACAATATGTCACCACTTCTTGGTTGAAATAAAAAGAACTAGACTTTGGAAATTGAACGAAGTTCAATTTCAGACTCCAGATCTAGACTTTTTTAAGCCCAGTCATCTAAAATAACCCGAGTCATCCAGAATAAGCTGAGTCATCCAGAATAAGATGGATGGATAAAATAGGAAGGCAGGATAGGATAGAATGGGAAGAAACGATAGGATAGAATAAGAAAGAAGGATAGGATAGAACAGAATAGGAAGAAAGGATATGATAGGAGAGGATAGGAAGGAAAGGATACGAAGGAAGGATAGATAGGAAGGATAGGATAGGATCAGATAGAATGGATGGATGAATTTTTCAATATTTTCTTCTCTACTCTTGACTTTCTATCAGGATACCACCAGATCGATTTTCTGAAATTTCAAAACGCCATAACTTCGGAAACGGAAGTCAGATCGAAATTTGGTTTGCAGATTCGGATTCCTGACAACATTCTGCCCCTAATTCATAACTCATATGTTAAATTTGGCGAATTTTTATTTTGACCTACTTTTCGGACACGCCATTACTTCGGAAGCGGAAGTCGGATCTAAATTTGGTTTGTAGATTCGGATTCCTGAGAAAATTCTATACTTAATTCATAACTCAAAAGTTAAATTTGGAGAATTTTTTATTTCAACCTACTTTTCGGACACCATATCTCAAAAGTGGGGCAAAATACTTTCTGACGGCAAAAGGCTAACACTATTAGCACACTCTTCGCTACATGTATACAAAATTTCGAAGAATATAATTAAAGTGTAGTGTCAGAATCGCAAAAATAAGGAAAAACCTTGAATTTGACCTAGATTTTGACCTAGGGATTTTGGTGTCCAAATTTTGAAGTTAAGTAGCCTTCGAGGTCCCCTTCTTTCATAGGCTTTCATTATTTTAAGCTGTAATTAGTCTATATCTTGTTACACTTCAAAAAAACTTTCTTTCCCATTGACATAACATGGGGCACCAAATTTAGCAATTTTTGAGCTTTCAAAATGTCATAACTTCCGAACCAGAAGTCGGATTGAAATTTAGTTTGCAGATTCGGATTCCTGAGAAAATTTTATACTCAATTCATAACTCAAACGTCATATTTGGAGAATTTTTTATTTTGACCTACTTTTCGGACACCATATCTCAAAAGTGGGGCAAAATACTTTCTGACGGCAAAAGGCTAACACTATTAGCACACTCTTGGCTACATGTATACAAAATTTCGAAGAATATAATTAAAGTGTAGTGTCAGAATCGCAAAAATAAGGAAAAACCTTGAATTTGACCTAGATTTTGACCTAGGGATTTTGGTGTCCAAATTTTGAAGTTAAGTAGCCTTCGAGGTCCCCTTCTTTCATAGGCTTTCATTATTTTAAGCTGTAATTAGTCTATATCTTGTATTTTACACTTCAAAAAAACTTTTTTTCCCATTGACATAACATGGGGCACCAAATTTAGCAATTTTTGAGCTTTCAAAATGTCATAACTTCCGAACCAGAAGTCGGATTGAAATTTAGTTTGCAGATTCGGATTCCTGAGAAAGTTTTATACTTAATTCATAACTCAAACGTCATATTTGGAGAATTTTTTATTTTGACCTACTTTTCGGACACCATATCTCAAAAGTGGGGCAAAATACTTTCTGACGGCAAAAGGCTAACACTATTAGCATATCCTTGGCTACATGTATACAAAATTTCGAAGAATATAATTAATCTGTAGTGTCAGAATCGCAAAAACAAGGAAAAACTTTGAATTTGACCTAGATTTTGACCTAGGCATTTTGGTGTCCAAATTTTAAAGCTAGATGGCTTTTGAGTTCCCATTCTTTTAAAAGCTTTCATTATATTTAGCTGAACTCAGTCTATATTTCTTATTTTTCACTTCAAAAAAATAATTTTTCCCATTGACTTAACATGGGCTCCAAATTTAGCGATTTTTGAGCTTTCAAAACGCCATAACTTCCGAACTAGAAGTCTGATTCAAATTTAGTTTTCAGATTCGGAATCCTGAGATAATTTCCTATAAGACTAATATCCTGGACATTTGATTCGGAGAACTTTTTTTTGGACCTCGTTTTCGGACACTGATATCTCGAAATCGGTTTGAGATATCAAAAAACTAAATCAACCCTAGGTTTTCTACTTTTTTATAAGGAACACAATGAAAAAAAACCGGATCGAAAATATTGAAGGACGACCGAGAAAATCGAAAAAAGTGACAAAGTACTGGATTTGACCTAGTTCTTGACGTGTGACCTAGATAAAAATTTGACCCAATTTCCGAGGAACTAGATACTGAACCTAAATTGACCAAATGATTGACTTTACTAGAGACCTTATGGTTATTGAGAAAACTGGTTTAGAATAATAAGAATAAGAAGAAGAATAAGAAAACTGACGAAAACAATAGACTCCAGATTTTCAATCTGGAGTCTAATAAGAATAAGAATAAGAAGAATACTGGCAAAAACAATAGACTCCAGATTGACATCTGGAGTCTAATAATAGGATTTGGCCATACGCGTATAGAGGGAAATGGCTCTACGGACGCTCTGAGGGCCTATAATGGTCGATTAAAGGACGGAGAATCTAGGGAGGTAGTTGGGGAGAATGCCTGGCTCGTGCTTCGCGGATCCGTCGAGGTCAAAAAATAGTCCTTCAAAAAATAGGCCTTCCAGACGTCTATATAGAGCTTTCGACGTAGATTCGAGCAGCGTACGTGTCGTTCTACATTCCGCAATCGTTAGTTGGACGAAGGGAAACATTGTTTTAGAAATGCTCTAGTCATCGTCCGGGCCTATTTTCTTTCAAATGTCTGTTGTTCGCAGAGATACGTATACCAAGTGTATTCGTGCCGTCTAGATATACGGCAACGGTGGCCCGTACGCGAACTTCAAACGCGTATATCTCGGTAACTAATGGTCGAATTTCAATTTGGTTCACAGTTTTTTTAATGCTCGGAAAACTGTCTTTCCGACCAGCTAGTTTTCCTCCGATTCTGACTTCTTAAGGAGGCTCGAGAGGCCGAAATAGCGGAAATGCAGATTTCGACCTAGATTTCGACCTTTGACCCAGATAAGGATTTGACCTAATTTCCGAGCAACTACGCCTAGCCCCCTAACAACGTGTATGAGTAGATTTATCCAAATATCTCTCGTTGATGAGAACGTGTGGGTAGAAGGATTTTTGCTTTTGCACATACAAAAGCAAAAATCATAATAGGATTTGGCCATACGCGTATAGAGGGAAATGGCTCTACGGACGCTCTGAGGGCCTATAATGGTCGATTAAAGGACGGAGAATCTAGGGAGGTAGTTGGGGAGAATGCCTGGCTCGTGCTTCGCGGATCCGTCGAGGTCAAAAAATAGTCCTTCAAAAAATAGGCCTTCCAGACGTCTATATAGAGCTTTCGACGTAGATTCGAGCAGCGTACGTGTCGTTCTACATTCCGCAATCGTTAGTTGGACGAAGGGAAACATTGTTTTAGAAATGCTCTAGTCATCGTCCGGGCCTATTTTCTTTCAAATGTCTGTTGTTCGCAGAGATACGTATACCAAGTGTATTCGTGCCGTCTAGATATACGGCAACGGTGGCCCGTACGCGAACTTCAAACGCGTATATCTCGGTAACTAATGGTCGAATTTCAATTTGGTTCACAGTTTTTTTAATGCTCGGAAAACTGTCTTTCCGACCAGCTAGTTTTCCTCCGATTCTGACTTCTTAAGGAGGCTCGAGAGGCCGAAATAGCGGAAATGCAGATTTCGACCTAGATTTCGACCTTTGACCCAGATAAGGATTTGACCTAATTTCCGAGCAACTACGCCTAGCCCCCTAACAACGTGTATGAGTAGATTTATCCAAATATCTCTCGTTGATGAGAACGTGTGGGTAGAAGGATTTTTGCTTTTGCACATACAAAAGCAAAAATCATAATAGGATTTGGCCATACGCGTATAGAGGGAAATGGCTCTACGGACGCTCTGAGGGCCTATAATGGTCGATTAAAGGACGGAGAATCTAGGGAGGTAGTTGGGGAGAATGCCTGGCTCGTGCTTCGCGGATCCGTCGAGGTCAAAAAATAGTCCTTCAAAAAATAGGCCTTCCAGACGTCTATATAGAGCATTCGACGTAGATTCGAGCAGCGTACGTGTCGTTCTACATTCCGCAATCGTTAGTTGGACGAAGGGAAACATTGTTTTAGAAATGCTCTAGTCATCGTCCGGGCCTATTTTCTTTCAAATGTCTGTTGTTCGCAGAGATACGTATACCAAGTGTATTCGTGCCGTCTAGATATACGGCAACGGTGGCCCGTACGCGAACTTCAAACGCGTATATCTCGGTAACTAATGGTCGAATTTCAATTTGGTTCACAGTTTGTTTAATGCTCGGAAAACTGTCTTTCCGACCAGCTAGTTTTCCTCCGATTCTGACTTCTTAAGGAGGCTCGAGAGGCCGAAATAGCGGAAATGCAGATTTCGACCTAGATTTCGACCTTTGACCCAGATAAGGATTTGACCTAATTTCCGAGCAACTACGCCTAGCCCCCTAACAACGTGTATGAGTAGATTTATCCAAATATCTCTCGTTGATGAGAACGTGTGGGTAGAAGGATTTTTGCTTTTGCACATACAAAAGCAAAAATCATAATAGGATTTGGCCATACGCGTATAGAGGGAAATGGCTCTACGGACGCTCTGAGGGCCTATAATGGTCGATTAAAGGACGGAAAATCTAGGGAGGTAGTTGGGGAGAATGCCTGGCTCGTGCTTCGCGGATCCGTCGAGGTCAAAAAATAGTCCTTCAAAAAATAGGCCTTCCAGACGTCTATATAGAGCTTTCGACGTAGA